TAGCAACCAGTGATGTCAAAGGTATTCCCCCAGCGTAACCGGAGGATTGGAGGAGAATCTCCTGCAGCTCCAGCTTCTGGCCTAACAATAAGGTTAAAAAAAGGAATGAGGGGACAATAATATAAAGGGGCACAGTAATGGAAACAGACAATATAAGGGGGCACTCTGATGGGGACAATAATTAATTGTGGTCATCAGAGTGTCCAACTTACATTGGTTGTCCCCATCAGGGTGCCCCCTTACATTGAATGTCCCCATCAGAGTGCCCCCTTACATTAACTATGAAAATAAAGGGGACTCTGATGTGGACAAGCAATGTAAGTGAGCAACCTGATGAGGGCAACTAATGTACAGGGGCACTCTGATGGGGACGACTAATGTAAGGGGACACTCTGATGGGGACACCTAATGTAAGGGGGCACTCTAAAGGGGACAATCAATTTAAGGAGACATTTTGATGGGGACAACTAATGTAAGGGGGCACTCTGATGGGGAAAACTCATTTAAGGGGGCACTCTAAAGGGGACAATCAATTTAAGGAGACATTTTGATGGGGACAACTAATGTAAGGGGACACTCTGATGGAGACAACTAAATATTAGTTGTCCTCATCGGAGTGCCCCCTTACATTAGTTGCCCCCATCAGAGTGCCCTCTTACATTAATTATGAAAGTGGGGGGCACTGTGATAGGGACAACCAAACGTTAGTTGTCTCCATTAGAGTGCCCCCTACATTAGTCGCCTCTTTTCTCATCATACTGTTTGCTAGAAAACATCAGAAGCAAAAGAATAGGAACGGCTCTGGGTTGCATTAGTGTAAGTGGGAAATGATGAGGACGCGCATGCAAAGCTGAACCTCTGACCCTATGAAGACAATGAGAGATGTACAAAAATTTCAGAAGAAAGACATCCTTGTAATCGCTGCTTCTGTTTATTTCACAAATGTAATTTCAATAACTGTAAAGTTAACATTTACAGTGGCGCTGGAGGCGGTGTACTTTGGCGCTGGAGGCGGCGTAATACACCAGGGGCACTGCACGGGTTACATAACTACAAGTCCAAGCACGCTCTGCCAACTGGAGACACAAGGTGACCCCATGCCTGCCTACCATTAGGCCGTGGACATGTACTGTGTGTACGGAGCTCTGGTTTAATGAAGTAGAACTCCACCCAAATATTTATTTCTAGTTTTGGGTTGGGGAGTTCTCATGCCACGCTGGGTCTTCACACGCCACCCATTTGCCATCCGTTGTCCATTTGGTAAGCTGAACTTTCACCTCCCCTGGTGGTGTCACACCATAGAGGAATCTTATAGGAATATAGAGAGACGGCTGTCTGAAGAGGCAGCTTAGAGCCCTTGGTAGGAACAAAGGTGGGTGACATGTTCCAGGGTCATGGATAGTAATAGAGACCTAACGGGTATCAAAACTACTTAACTACACCCAATGGTTGACAGAGCAGATAATGAGCTTTTTTTTTTTTAGCATATAACAGAATTTATAGCTCATTTCACACCTCGTAAGTACGTGAGACTGTAGGATGGATATCAGGCAGAAGGATCCTCTAGGGTGGAGTGTGGTCTATATACTCTGTGTGAACCTATGGTAAAGATATCAGAAAGAAGGATCCTCTAGGGTGGAGTGTGGTCTATATACTCTGTGTGAACCTATGGTAAAGATATCAGAAAGAAGGATCCTCTAGGGTGGAGTGTGGTCTATATACTCTGTGTGAACCTATGGTAAAGATATCAGAAAGAAGGATCCTCTAGGGTGGAGTCTGGTCTATATATTCTGTGTGTGAAACTGTGGTATGGAAATCAGACAGGAGGCTCCTCTAGGGCGGAGTCTGGTCTATATAATCTGTGTGAGCCTATGGTAAAGATATCAGACAGGAGGCTCGTCCAGGGTGGAATCTTGTCTATATACTCTGTATGAGACTTTGGTATGGATATCAGACAGAAGGCTTCTTTAGGGTGGAGTCTGGTCTATATACTCTGTGTGAGACTGTAGGATGGATATCAGACAGAAGGCTCCTCTAGGGTGGAATCTGGTCTATATACTCTGTGTGCAGACTCTGGGATGGATATAGACAGAAGGCATCCTTTAGGGTGGAGTCTTGCCTATCTACTCTGTGTGAGACTGTAGGATGGATATCAGACAGAAGGCTCCTCTAGGGTGGAGTCTGGTCTATATACTCTGTGTGAGACTGTGGTATGGATATCAGACGGAAGGATCCTCTAGGGTGGAGTCTGGTCTATATACTCTGTGTGAGACTTTGGTATGGATATCAGACAGAAGGCTCCTCTAGGGTGGAGTCTGGTCTATATACTCTGTGTGCAGACTCTGGGATGGATATCAGACAGAAGGCTCCTCTAGGGTGGAGTCTGGTCTATCTACCCTATCTGAGACTGTAGGATGGATATCAGACAGAAGGATGCCCTCGGGGGTGGAGTGTGGTCTATGTACCCTATGAGAAGCTGTGTAATAATGCACAAAAATAAATGAATACAACGTTATCATACATCACCACTTAGAACCGGAGTCAACACCCAGATTCAGCTGAAGGTTACATTTTAAGGCACTTGCCAATGTACTATAAGGCAAAACATAGATCAGTTACTATGAACGAATACAATCTGTTATGGAGATTGAAGAAGATTTGGAACAAATCGCACTGTGGCTGTTAGAACTGAACAAAATGTGACATTTCAATAAAGTTCTCTAAAAAAAAAAAAGTAAACAGTGCAATGGCCCAGGATCGGCACATCAGCATTGTTTCTGCCCGTGCACACCAGCAGCCGCTCAGCATGACCTGCTGCCATGAACAGACCCTTACATAGACAACGCAGTGCAATGCATCAGCACCTGATTGGCTTCCAGTGTTAGTCACTCCCTCCTCCAGTCTGAGAGGATTGCAGAAGTAGAATATCATGCGATAGAGATAAGTACTTTAGCCAACTTTAGGGAAAATACATTTAATAATTAATTACTGGATTAAAAGGAAACTTTTTATATCAGGAGGTCAACTTAAGAAATACCCTTTTATAATGCCACTCAAACTGTACTGATGTATAATACATTGTACATTATAATAAATATGTTTAAAATGCTTACACATTGTAAAACATTGAAAGCCCATGGGCCATATTATTTGGTTTGCCCGGCGTTCAGGAGGCGAAACTTCTGCCAACTAAATGACATTCTTTTTTCCCCAAAATTTTGGTAAAATTTGCCAGGCTTTAATATGTATACAAGCCTGAGTGACCACTATTGGAGCTTTTAGGTGGGCAGTCAGGGGGCAGTTAAAAACATGAATCAACTGCCTTATTTTTACTGCCCCTTGGCACACGTCTGAATGAGGGCTTATTCTAATGGAAATCGACCCATAGTTCTTTTCCAAAGTCCTTTTTTTTGGTCAGATCAGATTGGAAAAGTCATCAGTCAGTCAGACTTTTAATGGGGTTTTAAAAACTGAAACATTCCTGAAATTGTACACTATATTGCCAAACGCATTGGGTTCAGGTGTTCCGTGACATTTCCTGGCTGCTAAATATTCCGCGGTCACCTGTTACTGGCATTATAACAAAGTGGAAGCAACTGGGAACAAAAGAAGAGTTGAAGCTGTTATATCGGCAAAGGGCGGAGCCAACTCAATACTGAACCCTACGGACTAAGACTGGGATGCCATTAAAGCTCATGTGCGTGTAAAGGCCAGCGTCCCAATACTTTTGCCAATATAGTGTATACTGTATATAATATATAGTAGAACTTAAAGGAAAACTTTCACTTTTGTCAAAATAATGAATATAGCATAAACATATTTGCTACAGAAGCCATTTTGTCATTTAATGTGAATAAAAATGACCTTTTTATTTCAATCTGAAGCTGACGTCATTCTCCAAAACTGTTCAAAGACTTCAATGCCATATGGCAACCTGGAGGTGTTCTGTACACTTCAGCCTCCCAGCTGGGGTGAAACTACAGATCCCACCTTGCATCTGCCTCTGGAAGTCATGCTTGTGGCTGTCACAATCACACAATGTCTTATAGAACTTGTAGTTCCACAACAGCTGAAGGGCCAAAGTTTAAATGCTCCTGGTGGCCGGAACAACCCCAAAAAAATTAATTTCCTGCTTGTGCGATTTGGCTGATTTTCTCAGACGTCTGCACTAAGATACCCTGCTATCCCCTGCAATAGAAATGTCATTTTTGGTGAGATACCCCCTAAGGGTAACTAATTCTAAAGGGATGCCAACACTGCACCTTTCCTCATTAGAACACTGAAAGTGCACCAGGTGATTATAATGAACAAGACCCTCCCATTCAGGAATTAGACCCCTCCCATTCAGGAATTAGACTCCTTACATTCAGGAATTAGACTCCTCCCATTCCAGAATTAGACCCCTCACATTCAGGAGCCATGTCTGGAAAGGACATGGTGAAGCAAATAGCTTTTTCGGAACAGAGTACAGTGAAAATCTGCAATGTAGGAGCAGCATTGTCACACTGAAATGAGGGATTACCACCTTATAGCGGGGTGAGAAGACATTACAGGGGGGTGTGGCTGTTCGCACTGTCACTATTGATGCACAAGCCTGTAGCTTGTCAATCAGCACCTGGCCATACCTAGTCCTGCCCACTGCCTTTGCTGCTGAAACCCATTCACTGTGAGCTGCAGTGTCTGGGAGGGGGAGCGTATGAGACACAGAAGAAGAAGGATTTGGCTGACCCAGGGGAGGTAAAGTAAGTTTCTGATACCTTTATGAGGTTTATGTATCACATAGTAACTGGATTTGGGACTTGTTAAGATTGTCATAAAGGTCTTTAGTCTGTACTGTAAGTCTAAGCTTGTTCCTGATTGTAGTGATTAGGGAACAAAATAATGTAAGTGACCCCACCAGCTACACCCACCCTTCTATAATTTACAGTCTATATACCCCCAGTGCAGGAAAAACAAATATGTGCAATGATCCTGCTGAGGGGCCACCACATGTGGATCTTCTAAAACACCAGACCATGAAATGATCCGGAGGCGCCTCCAGCAGCTGGGCCTAGTCCTCCTGGCGAGCCATCATCATCATTGTCCTTATCGAAGTCCTGCCACCATAGCGGAGACTTCAGTAGTGGGGAAATGTAGGCTGCTGTGTTCCTGGCTTCCTTCTCTTGCTCCTAGGGAAAGGAAAAGAAATCAAACTTGTAGGAACTATTAAAAGAAGAGGTGCACTATTCACCGACCCCCGTCCAGCCACGACCGTCCCAGGTTGCTAAGAGCTCTTAGTCCAGCATCCTGCCCAGCTCACTAACGACAAAGGTTGCCAAGAGCTGGCCTGCACATCGCCCAGCTCCTGCCAACAAGTGATGTCGGTGAGCCGGTCCCAGGAGTACCATGCACTACCTGAGCACAGAGTTTCTCATCTACATAGCTTTGAAATGCTTTTGATGCAGCCTAGAAGAGGTCAAACGCAGGTCAATTGCAACTATCAATAAACTCTGAAGTATCTCAAACTAATGTCAAATGCAAACTGAATGCACCTGAAAGCACACAACATTTATCACCAACCCTGAAGAAGGTTTTGATGGACTTTAACATTTTAAGAAACATTAGGGTGAAGAGGTCTTTGTTTTGTCGCTCACCTGCAAATACTTGATGTTATCTTTGGTGATAGCTTCCATTAGCTCCTTGTTTAGAGAGATATCACTGTGCGGCCTGGCTGCTTCCAAGTCATGGGCTTCCTCGGGGAAGTCATGTGGTCGGTGCCTGTAGAAGAGCACGTAGGCCGTATCTTTGGGGAAAAAGGACGTTATGTTGCTGACAGATTCAAAGGATGAGAACGTTACCCTGGTGTCATTGAAGAGGTACCACTGGATTTCCATGTCCAGGTGCTTGTCAGGAGGAAACCTTTTCATGTCAGCATTGGGTGCTTTGTGGCTTTCCGTGTCCATGCACTCTCTGGAATAACAATAGTAGTGACCACTTTCAGAAGACAGTCCAGAATGTACGATTACGGTACACAAGTCATAGGTTGCAGACTGGTGGACCTTCACTGAGGCATAGCTACTGCCCCTTTCTAGGCACGCATTCCCTGGTCGAGGGGAAGAAGGCACATGGATGGGTAACTTGAGGATCATCGGAATGGACACGTTGTCCAAGATTTTTCTCCTTTTCATGGCCTTCAAATCAAATGAAAACCTGAGCAAAGTCAAAATAAGGTACTGCGGGCCAGTGGAAAGCTCCACAATTTTCTCTGCATCTTGTAGGGACAGACAAGTTTCACATCGATATTTATTGTCTGCCGTCAACATCTCTGGGCATAGGAAATGGTTGATCAGATCGGAAAGGGTCAGGGAACATTTTCTGATGTCTGCTGTTTCGAAAGAATTGGCAGTGCTCAAATTCCGAATGCCAACCACCATACAATTATTTTCATCTTTGTCCTTAGAGGCATCTTTTCCATGAAGCTTCAAGGCTTCAGGGGGGACTATTTTACCCCGTTTTTCCTCAATTTTTTGTTGCCACCTGGCGTGGTCTAGAAAGTCAGTGGTTTGTGCGGTATGAGCTTTTGGTTTCGTCTGCACATCATATGGTCCTATGTCTTCTACTGGCGGAGAGGAAGAATTAGAAGTTTGAGGAGGCTTTTTCTTGGTGGAGTCACTTGGAGGAAAAGCCAAAGATAAGTCAGTAAACGCTTCTTCCCTCGCCGACACACATTGGCATTTCAGACACCGAATTTTGGTTACGATTCTTCCACCGAACATCTGCTCTACTAATGTCCTGTTACCCAAGAGGGTCTTCTTTGATTGTAAACTGCTGCTGGCTTGGGCCAAGGTTTGGGAAATCCTCTTTCCAGTTTTCTCTTCTTCATGAAGCCTTGGAAAGAGAACATCAAACCAGAGATAAAATTCTCAAATACACAAAAAGAAGTCACATTTGGCTTTCATTGTCACCATGTTAACAAAGGAAAACATGTTTTAAAGTGTGTAGCCCCTACCACCTTCAGTGGAGTGGCTACTGGAAATTCAGCATTGCTAGTACTGTAATCAGTGTAGCCGATTGGTAGTTTGACATTACCTGGTTAATTCCAGGTGTTTTGCTGTTGATTGCCCCTACCTGAGTGGGATGTGACAGTGCTGCAGAGTGGGGCAGCTAATAGGGGAACACTAGGAGTGTCTATGCCTCACCAGCCGATCACTAGGAATTTTATAGCTAGTGGTGCATGCTGAGGGAGGGCATAAATACTCAGGGATTACCATGTGCTCAGGGCAGTCCGCCCCCTGGCTTGGCCTGGTGGGTTGCATGTACAAGGTTGGAGAAGGTGACTAGGCCTCAAGCCTGGAAGAGGCCACATGTGGACCAGGTTGGTTTTGGAACTGTCTGGGGAGAAGAACCAGAGAGGCCTCAGGACTACTGGAGGTGCCAGGAGCTGATATGGACTTCAGGAACAAGTCTGGTGTCTCTTCCAGGGAAGACTTCATACACATCCCTATTCAGCTGCTGTTCTATTGCTCAGTGTCAGCCTGTTCTAATAAAAATTCTGCACTGTGGAAGCCTGAAGGAATTGCTGAGCCTGGAGTCTGTTTTGCTTTTGCTATGGATGTCTGAAGCCCCGTACCCGCTCTCCCAGTTATGGTGTTCTGCAATAAAGCATTTAAAAAGGCACTTAAAGTAACTGCCACCCAACTTTGTTGAGCACACATCCTTTCACTGGATAAGTATCTGCCCCTGAGAGTGAAATGTCGGCCCTCCCTACCTTTGGGGTCCACCTCAGGCCCCTGGAGGTCAGGGGGGCACTACAACACAACAATTACAAAAGTACATACATACATGCGTACACATTACCTCATGTTTTGTCCCTAAATGCTGCAGGTACCGAAAAATACCTGTTGATCTGCCAGAAATCTAGTGAGGTTCTAGCTTCCTGTCTGGGATGACAAAGAAGCTCCTTTGCTGCACTAAAATTCCAACCAATGTTGTCAGCCATGCTCACTGGACTACAGAACTCCACCTGTCTCCCGCCCACTCTGTCCCTCTCTACGTGAGGCAGCATTGTTTTGCTGAGAAAGAAATCAATGCTGCTGCCTTCACTTCCCTGCTCACACACTGTGCACAGGGAAAGGGCTATTGGGAGATATAGTTCTGGGGGTATGCCCTAGTAGAAACTAAGCTCCTAGCAGCTGCCACTGCAAGATCTTTACAAGCCCGGCAATGTATGTTTGTCACTACAATAACAAGGTAAAATAAATAAATAATGCTAGGAAGTGCTCTAGAGGGGAGGAGGGAGGTGTGGGGCTAAATGTAAATGCCCCATTAAAAGTGAAGCAAAATGTGGCAAAATGAACCCGTGCTTCTGCTTACCGATCTAGGAGATATTTCAGGTACTCTGAGCAGTCTTGTTGAACGCCGGGAGTAAACCAAGGAGGCCAAGAGCAAGCCAAAAAACTTTCCGGTGAGACTGCTGGGCGCTGTGGTGCAAAAACACAGAACTGAACCAATCATATCAATTGCAATACTTTCACCTAATAATTCCTCATTATAGTAAACGCGCAAGCTTTCACAAATTGGGATTGGAAGAAAATTGGCCAAAAACATTTTATTTTTCCTTTAAAAATAAAGTGTTGTCCTTCTGTTGCCCCTAGACTGAAGCCTCAGTGCCATGTCCAAGCCGGCTTTGTACTAAAACACCACCTCCCCGTCCCACTCCAGTGCTGGCATAGATAAGCGCCAGCCACACGCCTCATATGGAGGATGAGAGGGGGCAGGATTGACCAGGTATGACCACCGTACATCATGCCCTTGGCAGTTTAGTCTGACTCTGGTGCCTTGTCAACTGCGCAGTCATATTTGGACACCATTACCCAACAGCTGCAAACAGGAAAGGAAAGGTAAGACTATGAAAATGGAGGTTGTTAGTACAAGGTCTATGTGACCGAATATCTATTCCTGTGACTTCAGTTGGGCTTTAAAATAAAAGAAGAGAACCAGTTGGCACTTACCTGGCTGTGCTCGAGAAAAGCAAATAGGTGCTGCAGCTTCATCATCAGAGGCTGGGAGCTGCTGTCTCGCAGGCAGAGCACCGAGTGCCTAAAACTGACAACACAAGTCAATGGACATCACTGGAAACTAAAACACTATTTGCCCCTTTATTGAGGTCACACCGGTACAAGATGGATTCTGTTCCTATGCCTACTGCCAGGGCCGGCCTTAGGCCTTTAGGCGCCCTGTGCGAGAAAGCTTTACAGCGCCCCTCAGTGACCACACCCCTCAGTGGTCAGACCCTTTAGTGGCCACACCCCCAGTAACCAGATTACAGCCCATGTACCCATTGCACTCCTGACCGCACGTCTAACAAAGTATCCTGGGTGCTCAGTAGTCGACGGATGGCCACCGTCAAAGTAATGCAGAAAAGAAATAGACACCGGCATTCCAATAGTAAATCGATTACGTCTATTGATTGACGTACATCAAAAGCAAAATAGCAAGTTGTTTTGCCTGATGAAGGGGTTCCTGTGTGTCCCCGAAACGTCGCACTAAGTGTGCTATTTTGCTTTTGATGTACGTCAATAAATAGACGTAATCGATTTACTATTGGAATGCCGGTGTCTATTTCTTTTCTACCCCCCAGTAACCACACCCATTTCCCCCAATATCCGCACCATTTTGTTAAGCCGCAAAGAAACATATTAAAAATTATGATAAAAATAAAACTTTTATTAAAAGGTATTAAACTTGTAGGCACAATATTAGTATTTTTATTCTTCTTATTATTATTACATAGTATTTATATAGCGCCAACAGTGTGTGCAGCGCTTTACAATATAAGGAAGACATTACAATTACAATACAATTCAAGACAAGATGGTAAAACAACAGAAGGTAAACAATAAATGTCAAACTACAATAGAGTTTATAAAAATAAAGTGTCAGGATGTCATGCCGATCCCTTTCTTCAAGTCAGTATATCTAGAAAAGTAAAAATAGAAAACAGAACACAAAACCCGGACTGCGTGTAAATGAACGAATTACTATTTGTCCGAATATACCAAAAATATGTTCAGGCACATAATAATTTGTTTGAGAATGTGCGGCGGCCATGTTGGCCACCGGCGTGTTCTGTGAATGCGTGCCACCATCTTGGAGGCGGGGAGCATGACGTTACATGACGCCATCCATGTGTGGCCCCACCATCTTGGTGTATACCTAGATCAGGGTGCCCACCGCAGCCAGGCCCCCCACCCACAGTGCGATCGCCTGCACCCGGAACCCAGGCACATCAGTCCCTGCGTTCCGGTCCAGTGCGATCTGCAAAAATGCTGCAAGCACTATTTTTGCAGATCACACTGGACCGGAATGTAGGCACTAATGTGCCTGCGTTCCGGGTGCGGGCGATCAAACTGTGGGCGGGGGACATGGCTGCGTTGCAACCCCACGCCCCCTCCCGCCCCTGAACCCATTCCAGTGCGTTCTAGAGGCGCCGGTGTCCTATCCTCCCGCAGTGCTCATGTGGTTGACGTATCTGCAGCCTCTGTTCTAAATGAATGGAAAGCAAAGAGGCTTCTCATTCATTCAGAAAATATTTACTATCACAAGTTTCTGAATGGGGAGGAGCCTCTGTACAGAGTGCTTCTCCCTATTGAGAAACTCATGAATTAACAGGAAGTGATGTAAATTACATCGTGTTCATTCATAACTGGGGACACATAGTACTATGTGTCCCCAGTTATTTACAAACACTGGAGTGATCAGACGATCGCTCCAGTGTTTGTCCTTCTCACACGGAGGATCGGTAAGTATCACTGATATTTACCGATCCCCCGCCCTGCCACGCACAGAGCCGCTGTAATCCTGAAGCTGAGAGGAGGAAAGTGGCTCCGATCTCCTCCCCGCTCGGCCATCCTGACAGCTGCGGGCGCGGCTTCTCTCCCCCTCTTCGCTCCGCTAATCCGGAGAGCAGGCAGCGCTCCCTCCTGCGGACGAGGGAGCGCTGTCCTGTTGGTGAGGAGGAGAGCGGTGAGTAGGAGAGAAGCCACCCCGAGGACGAGCTGTGTCGGCCGCTTGGCGCCTTTGTTGCCATGGCGCCACACACCCCTAAGGCCGGCCCTGCCTACTGCGCTCACACTGCTGCATTTAATGCCATGTTCCAATAGCAATCAATCATACCAATGGTTTGAGGAACACAACAGCGAGTTGGTGGTGTTGGCTTGGCCTCCAAATTCTCAAGATCTCAATCCAATCGATCATCTGTGGGATGTGCTGGAAGAACAAGTCCGATCCATGGAGGCCAATCACCTCACAACTTACAGGACTTAAGGATCTGCTACTGACGGATTGGTGCCAGATACCACAGCACACCTTCAGAGGTCTAGTGGAGTCCATGCCTCAATGGGTCAGGAAAAGGGGGACCTACTCAGTATTAGGTGGGTGGTCATAATGTTATGGCTGATCTATATTTATATATAGAATTGAAATTAGTTTTAAAATGTATCTTTAGAATAACATAAAAATAACCTATCTGGAAGCCTAAGCCAACGCTGCAGTTCTACGTGATGACTCAGCAATTTCAAACTCTTTAAAAAGGAAAAAAAAATCCCTTGCTCCAATTTTAGTACAAAGACATGAAAGAATGCCAAAGAAGAGAAAAGTCAATCAATATTTACAGTAAACATCCTCCCTCTGGGATCTCCGCCGGGAATATAGTTAAATGCAGGTTGCTGTTTTTAAGACGTTCTACAAGGACGTGTTCTGAATATTCCTAAAGCTGATCTCCGGGATAAGCAAATATCGTCCACATACCAGAGTCATGTGTATGCTTCCGTCAACCTCGTGAGCTTTGTGTATTTCTTCCAGATCTGGTTTGCAAACAGGCTAACTAAGGGGGTGACCCATAATACAGGGCTACCTGGTTTGGCACCGGGCTATCTAAGGGGGTGAGCCACAATACAGGACTGCCTGGTTTGGCACCGGGCTATCTAAGGGGATGAGCCACAATACAGGACTGCCTGGTTTGGCACCGGGCTAACTAAGGGGATGAGCCACAATACAGGACTACCTGGTTTGGCACCGGGCTATCTAAGGGGATGAGCCACAATACAGGACTGCCTGGTTTGGCACCGGGCTAACTAAGGGGATGAGCCACAATACAGGGCTACCTGGTTTGGCACCGGGCTATCTAAGGGGATGAGCCACAATACAGGACTGAAAAGAGCAATACCGGCGCCCCCGGTTTGCAGAGAAATCCGGCTGTAAAGTTCATTGGTACACCATAGAGGCAGCTCCCACCGGTCAACAACGACCATCAATCTGGGAAACAAAAGCAACACAGAGCGCCTCCATAGTGTAAAACTTTTATTTGAAGTGGGAAGGGGAAGTCTGAGGGGATCTCCAAATCAGCGTCCTCTGCTCCCGTATGTTTTTTAAAAAGGTCTACGCGTTTCAGGGGCACGCCCCCTTCATCAGAACCTGAGGTACCTACCTGAAACGCGTAGACCTTTTTAAAAAACATACGGGAGCAGAGGACGCTGATTGGGAGATCCCCTCAGACTTCCCCTGCTGGAGATTTTATATTTTATCGTTTCCTTTTACGCTTATGATCATTGGCTTTCGTGTAAGTACATTTTCACTTGCGTGTTGTACTCATCAAATAAAAGTTTTACACTATGGAGGCGCTCTGTGTTGCTTTTGTTTCCCACAATACAGGACTGCCTGGTTTGGCACCGGGCTAACTAAGGGGATGAGCCACAATACAGGGCTGCCTGGCTTGGCACCCGGCTAACCTAGGGGATGACCCACAATACAGGCTTGGGAGCAGCGAGTAACATTTTCTGTACTAAGCACATCTATCACTGTATCTAAGTCATTCACTGTATATCAGTGTTCTCTGCGTGTTACTTACTCAGAAGCCATGAACAAAGCCTGCAGGATGCTGTTCATGTAACACGTATTGCCCAGATTTATCAGGCCAATTTTACCCGTGTCAGATTTGGACACCAGTCTGGGGTAATATGGAGCAAGTTCATTCTTCTGCGATGTCCAGGCGTTCTGACCCAGCAACTGTTTTATTCTGTCTTCGTTTGGTACCGGGAGTTTCTAATTCAAAAAGAGACACAGGAAGTGACAGGCTGAATACACCTATAATGACCTGTGTAGGGTCAGCATAGGGAGAGAACAGGGCAGACATACAAGCCGCAGCTCAATCAGAAAACCATCAACCTGGCTTACCTTCCTGGTGATGCCTTTTCCTCAAGTGCTCTGATGCATATCAGTGAAATGCAGGTAGCAGGGTAGGGGCAGTAATCCTGGCAGGCAGGTATCAGCGTTAGGAGGTAGTAATCCTGGTATGCAGGTATCAGGATAGGGGGCAGTGATTCCAGAATGCAGGTACCAGGTTAGGGGGGAAGTAATCCTGGTAGACAGGAACCAGGGTAAGGGGGCAGTAATTCGGGTATGCAGGTGTCAGGGTAGGGGGTAGTAATTCTGGTATGCATGTACCATGGTAAGGGGCAGTGATTATGGTATGCAGGTACCAGGGAAGAGAGCAGTCGTTCTGGTATGCAGATACCAGGGTAGAGGGCAGTTGTTCTGGTATGTAGATACCTGGATAGAGGTCAGTAATTCTGGTATGCAGGTACCAGGGTAGGGGGCTGTAATTCTGGTATGCAGGTACCAGGGCAGGGGGCAGTAATTCTGGAATGCAGGTAGCAGGGTAGGGGGCTGTAATTCTGGTATGCAGGTACCAGGGTAGGGGGCTGTAATTCTGGTATGCAGGTACCAGGGCAGGGGGCAGTAATTCTGGAATGCAGGTAGCAGGGTAGGGGGCTGTAATTCTGGTATGCAGGTACCAGGGTAGGGGGCTGTAATTCTGGTATGCAGGTACCAGGGTGGGGGGGCTGTAATTCTGGTATACGGGGCCCAGGGTAAGTACCAATTGGTAACTTGGGGTTGGGCCTCAGGGGTGACGTTTCTGCTTCCCTGTACTCTTCCATGAACAGACAAATATTCCAACTGGGATATGGGCAGAGAATCCGCTCTCAAGTGCATAAATATCGCTGAGCCTCATGATAGGACCCCTCCCATTCATCAGGGGGTAGCAATGGTGGATCTCATTGGTGGTTATTGGCAACACAGACAGTATGAGACAAATCTCTCAGTTGTCTATAAGAGACTAAGATAAATGTAACCTATTGGAGATCAAATGAACACCTTGATTGCTTCCATGATGGGCTCATAAAGATCCGGGTATCCAGAGAACCGGAAGACCATGCAGTGCACGAGCTCCGCAAGCTGCTCCAGACAACTGGCCGCCGAATTGGTGTTCTCATTAGAGAGGCTGAAAACCACCTGGGGGAGGGGAGGAACGATCTGCAGGGGAAAGAGGGATGAGGCATTGTAGAGATAATAAAGACTATAAATCATCACAACGATCTATAACCTCCTATAATACACGGCTATAAAGATTTCACTCAATGACACTTCCACATTCTGTTATTCTGGAAGTTGGCCATTGATTTAGAGGTGAAGTTGAGCTCCCGGCAGAAAGCTAAATACATACAGGGGAGCTCAAAGTTACAATATGGCACGTCTCATGGGTGTATGTGACAGGTACACTTTAATGGCGATGCTCTGCATACTTACCAGGTGAAAGGCTTCAGGAGAGTGTTGATAGCTCAGTAACATATATCGAAGGACAGATAGAGCTCCCTCTCGGACCACCGGGTACAACAGCTTGGAGAATACCTGGAGGACAGATCCGTGTGACATACATGTTAGATTTAAAAAAACATTGGGATTTCTTGCTCTCCTGTTGGCCCTATCAGGCATGACCTCTTGACCCTATCAGGCATGTCCTCTTAGACCTCTTGGTCCTATCAGAAATGTCCTCTTAGACCTCTTGGTCCTATCCGGCATGTCCTCTTGGACCTCTTGGCCCTATCAGGCATGTCCTCTTAGACCTCTTGGTCCTATCAGGCATGTCCTCTTAGACCTCTTGGTCCTATCAGGCATGTCCTCTTAGACCTCTTGGCCCTATAAGGCATGTCCTCTTTGACTTCTTGGCCCTATAAGGCATGTCCTCTTAGAGCTCTTGGTCCTATCAGGCATGTCCTCTTGGACCTCTTGGCCCTATCAGGCATGTCCTCTTAGACCTCTTGGCCCTATAAGGCATGTCCTCTTTGACTTCTTGGCCCTATAAGGCATGTCCTCTTAGAGCTCTTGGTCCTATCAGGCATGTCCTCTTGGACCTCTTGGCCCTATCAGGCATGTCCTCTTAGACCTCTTGGCCCTATCAGGCATGTCCTCTTAGACCTCTTGGTCCTATCAGGCATGTCCTCTTGGACCTCTTGGTCCTATAAGGCATGTCCTCTTGGATCTCTTGGTCCTATCAGGCAAGGCATGTCCTCTTGGTCCTATCAGGTATATCCTTTTGGACCTCTTGGCCCTATCAGGTATCCTCCTGAACCCCTTGGCTCTATTAGGCATGTCCTATTAGACCCCTTGGCCCTATCAATTTCCCGCCATTCTGACCTGGTGACGCCAGTCATTAGGACCAATAGAGTGAGTGAATCTCACGAGTGGGGGAGGGGGAGGTTACAGGCGGCCCTAAAAATCAGACAGGGTTATACTCAATGCAAAACTAAACAAAAAGACTACAGATACACTGTATCTATGAGCCTCCATTATGATGATGATGATGTTCTGCACTCCTCGGAGTTGGCTGTGAGCTCAGGCAGCTGATGGGGAAGCATCTCTCCGTTCCTTCATCTCTCCTGTGAAATGTGAACCCGGAAGCGCTCAGCTCTGATCGCTTCTGTGTTCACCGCCATCAGTTCCCAGCCAGCAGAGCCGAGTCCAGCAGCGGACCCGGGGTGTTGTGTTGTACTGAGTGCAGGGGAAGCATTAGAGGTGCAAAAGCCCCCAATCCCCATCCCCAGGACCCCCCGAGGACTTCATTTTCTTCTACAGTGGTTTTGCTTTTAGTACGTGTGTGCAGCAAAATGGCAAAAATGTCTCTGACCAATGATGACCAAACTGACCTTTTGTATTTTGGCTAAAGAGACCTCTGTGAGTATACTGAACTTCTTCACCGCTGCCAGTCCCTTTAAAAGGGCGATGATCCACTTGTCGATGTTCTTTCCTAAAGGCCATGACACCCAGTCAATCATCCTGTAAACAGAGGACAAGTGTTAGAGGTCCGCTAAAGGTGAACTACGATTGGTTGATACAGCTGTAGGCACTGCGGAGTAATTCATCCTCAAGAATCAAAATGGAAGGGCTGAAGTAATTCAAATAATTTTCTCAGCAGCTCAGCTCCCCCTGCTCCCCCTACCAGCAGTGACTTTGGAGCTTAGCTTACCCTGCTCCCTCTCCAGCAGTGACTTGGCAGCTCAGCTCCCTAACGCCAGTGACTCAGCAGCTCAGCTTCCACTATCACCACCACCACTGACTCAGCAACTTAACTCCTTCTGCTGCCTATTACCAACAGTGAATGAGCAGCTCAGATACCCTGCTCCTCCTACAAGCAGTGACTTAACAGCTCGGCTCCCTCTGTTCCTCCCTCATAGCAGTAACTCTGCAACTCAGCCCCTCCTGCTGCCCACTCCCAACAGTGATTTAGCAGCTTATCTCCCCTTGCACCCCCCTAGCAGAGAATCAGTAGATAAGCTCCCCTGCTCCCTCCTCCCAGCAGTAAGTCAGCAGCTCAGCTCTACAAGCTTCCCCCTCATAGCAGTTACTCCGTAGCTGAGCTCTACCTGCTCTCTCTCCCAGCAGTGAATCGGCAGCTAAGCTCCCCCCCCCCCCCCCCCCCCGTTACTGCTTCTCCTCCCAGCAGTAAGTCAGCAGCTCAGCTCCCCTCTCCTAGTAGTGACTCAGCAGCTGAGCTCCCCCTGTTTCCTTCCTTCATATCAGTGACCCAGCAGCTCTGCTCCCCCTCCTAACAGTGACCCAGCAGCTCTGCTCCCCCTCCTAACAGTGACTCAGCAGCTCTGCTCCCCCTCCTAACAGTGACTCAGCAGCTCTGCCCCCCCTCCTAACAGTGACTCAGCAGCTCTGCTCCCCCTCCTAACAGTGACCCAGCAGCTCTGCTCCCCTTCCTAACAGTGACCCAGCAGCTCTGCTCCCCCTCCTAATAGTGACTCAGCAGCTCTGCTCCCCCTCCTAACAGTGACCCAGCAGCTCTGCTCCCCTTCCTAACAGTGACCCAGCAGCTCTGCTCCCCCTCCTAATAGTGACTCAGCAGCTCTGCTCCCCCTCCTAACAGTGACCCAGCAGCTCTGCTCCCCTTCCTAACAGTGACCCAGCAGCTCTGCTCCCCCTCCTAATAGTGACTCAGCAGCTCTGCTCCCCCTCCTAACAGTGACCCAGCAGCAGTGACCTAGCAGTCCAGCTCATCTTAAAAAGAAAACAGACTTCAATAAACTTACAGAGCAAAGATAAACTGAGAAAAAGAAATAAAATGAGAATAAAGACGATACTACTATAACCGTGTACTCGTACTGCGGTGTTCAGGGACAATGCACTCAGAGTTTTACATTAACAGCCCGATTGGCAAATCACGTGTAACGATTGCCAGTTACTGTTCGGCGCTCTTCCGTCACCGCATCACCCGCACAGGAAAGGCGGACTCAAGTTCAGCAATAATCTGCCTCCAGCGGCTCCCTCCATCAATCAATATCATAGTGGAGTCACATACACCATGAAGGCCTCATACGTCTCTCATATAGAAAATTACAGTTTTAAAGGTTCCACCCAAAACGAATATTTAAGCTTCGGCGGGACGGGTGCGTGCCGAGCTGACCAGAGACTCCAGGAGGGTTATTCACAGAAGAGCCGAAGGATCCAGCTGTAGCTTCGGCTGAACCTTCGGCTCTCTTCGGCCGCCGGAGCCCTTCGGTTCAGTTGAACTGAAGGGCTGCTGTACGGGCTATTCACTATATTCACCATAACCCGTACAGCAGCCGAAGGCGGCCAAGCTGCTCAGCCGAGCGGAAGGCATATGCTTCGGCTCGACTGAGCCGAAGTGACACCCGAAGCGGAGCGAACGGCCTGCCGAGGGCTGGCCGTTTGCCCCATCAAATGACAGCTAGGCGGAGCCAGCCGTGATCTCACGGCTGGCTCCGCCCAGTTGTAATGACAGATCAGCGCCCCAAATGACCTGGGGACGCTGATCTGTCATTAAACAATAACAACTGGGTGTAGCTGGCTGTGACGTCACGGCCAGCTCCGCCCAGTTGTTATTTATTGGCCTGCCAATAGGAAACAGCTGGGCAGAGCTAGCGGTGATGCCCAACTGTTTTTTATTTGGCCGGCATATGTCAGCTTTGACATTATGCGGCGGGAGGTCGCCATGTGCAGTCGGGTCTGCGTGCGCCTTTTTTTATTATTATTTTGTATTTTTGTTGTATTTTTTTAAATCTTTTTTTTTAATTTTCGTATTTCTTACTTTTTTAAATCATTTTTCAAAATTTTTTTAATTTTTCTTTTTATATCACGGAGGTACCGAGCAGAATACTCAAGCCGAATGTTGCTCGGTGGCATTCGGCTATTCACTCACTGCCGTTTGGCCACCATGTGAATAGGGCACCGAGTGAGCTGCCGGAGCTTCGGCTCAGCCGATCTAGATGTTGGACTGGCTGAGTTGAACTCCTTCTGCACTTCGGCTAAGCCAAACATGGAGAGCGTGTTCGGCTGACCGAAGGGAGCGAAGGGAGCCGATTTACGGCTGATTTTAGGGGATAGCCGAATCACTTTTGCTCAGTTATTCACTCAGCTGCCCCCTATATCTTTCACTTTCACAGGTGGAGCTGGTTGGGGGGAGGGACAGGCAGGAGGTCTCTCCATTGGACCTCCCAGGACTGGAGGTATGCCAGAGGAGGAAACAAATAACAGTTTTAGGGCCATGAAGTGAACCCGGCACAGGACCGGATAACCCAAAGTGAGCACATTATATAAATGAATACTTACCATGAGAGAAACCCTCGTGTCCTACTGATCAGTAGATAAAAGCAGCTTAAGTTATTTCCTAATCTTCATGTTGCCTGGAAACGTTGAGCTTGGCTCCACCCACCCCAACCTTCCAAGTCTCCCCATTGGTCAGGGGTTTAAGTTATAGGCAAGATCTGTATATAACTATAGCTGCTTCTATCTTTGGATGTACTGATCATTTTCGATGTGCCGTTTTCACCGAAAGCAACCTCCGCTTATCTGTTTTTCTTCATATGTTTAGTCTGAATGACCAAGGGAGTTACTTTATAGTCAAAATACGAATGAGGTGGTGGGGGGGTGGAGCCTCAAGGTGCGACACTACCAAAAATGGTCAGAGCTTTGGCAATCAGAATGCAGTAATATGAGCAGAAAGGCAACCAGGAGCTGAGCGGGATGCCGGCCAGAGCGTCCCAGGTTGCTAAGAGCTACAGGGCCCCTGGTGTCAACAGCAGTCAAATCTACAGGTCCCCTGGTGTCAACAGCAGTCCAATCTACAGGGCCCTTGGTGTCAACAGCAGTTCAATCTACAGGGCCCTTGGTGTCAACAGCAGTTCAATCTACAGGGCCCCTGGTGTCAACAGCACATCAATCTACAGGGCCCCTGGTGTCAACAGCAGTCCAATCTACAGGGTCCCTGGTGTCAACAGTACATCAATCTATAGGGCCCCTGTTGTCAACAGCAGTCCAATCTACAGGGCCCCTGGTGTCAACAGAAGTCCAATCTACAGGGCCCCTGGTTTCAACAGCAGTCCAATCTACAGGGCACCTGGTGTCAACAGCAGTCCAATCTACAGGGCACCTGGTGTCAACAGCAGTCCAATCTACAGGGTTTCCTTTACCTTTGGCTGGTGGTAAATCAGTAGTGTTTGAAGGCCAATGGACACATATTGGACTAATGATGGCAGATGAATGGTTGGATGGATGAGTGGAAGGTTGGTTGGTTGTGTCAGTTTAACATCTTGAGATCATTACTGTTTACCAGAACAGGTACCAATGAAGGTCCCTGCCATCCCTGGAGACAGTTACCTGTTAATGGCGGTCATCATCTGTGCATCTGTTACGCTGTCAGCATTGGCCAGATTTCGGACCACACCCTCCATGAGCTCCAATGGAATGTACTGGACCACACTCGCCAAAGAGTTTGAGGGAGTCTCTAACTCATCTGTAAAGAACACCAATAAATCCTTAATTGCACACTTCCTATTATCATCTGTCCGGCGCCTGGACACCAAGTCACCATGTTCACTGCAGGCTTTGACCAACATGCCTAAAAAATAAACCTAGTGCCCAATATATTTAACAACGTTGATGTTATTAGTGGAAATATATCATTAACTGAGTAGACATTGGAGATGGACAGTTAGGCTGAAGAATGATCGTATAGTTCCAGACACTGGAGAAGACACTATGCTATCTTTACGAATGGTCACCATCTGGAATTTCACAATAACCCAAAACTGCTTAAAGTGAACCATTCCCAAAAGAAAAATGGAGGCTGCCATTGCTGACCTCCTTGTAGACATTTTTGCCTGGTCGTTATGACCCACCAGCTTCCATACTCTTTGAGTCACTGATGTGGAACAATTATGCAGATCAGGAAAGTTGGAATAAGTCAGAAGTCCTTATCTTCAAACTTGTTCTGGGTTTTTGTCCCAAGGTATTGAAGTCAGAGGTTCAGCATGAAACCAAAGCAACCAGCAATTGCAGAACAGGAAGTCAGTAATGACAACCTCCATGTTCTTCTCAGGAAAGGTGGACAAAAAGATCAAAGCTCTAAGCTTAAAGGGGCCTTTACAATTGTAGATGTCTAAGCCATCTTTTCTACAGTTAATGTTTAATGTTAGGAACATTGGTTGGCTTAGTGTCTCTTTGGTTCCCATGACTGCAGCAACAGCATTTGGTAGAGTTCCATTGGGAGAACCAGCTAGATGACGTGGATTTTTTGTTTTGTTTCTGTCCTGACAGGTACATTCCATGATATGCCCACCCTTTACATAGACAAAAAAGCTACAGTCTACATCAGATGTGTCAAACTAGTGTTTTTGGGCCACACATGGCTCCCTTCCTCCTGCTTCTTGATAGACCACCTCCCCAGTAAGGAATACTTACTGATCCATGTTCCTGCCGAGATCACTTGTATGCAGCCTCCTGCACAGGGGATTGTGCCTCTGCATGGGTGCGGACGTGACCCCATGCCTGTTTTCTAATGATGACGCCAATAGGGCTATTTAAGGCTGAGATACCTTGACCTCCCTGCTGACTGATCTTCAGCTGTACCCCGTCCCTTGTTCCTGAAACCTGCATACTTGATCTGATCATCCGTTACCGACCCGGCTTGTTTGACCTCTGCTCCATACTCTTTGACCTCGGCTTGCTTTGAGCTCTCTCCTGCCTGTTCATTGGTACTTCACTGCATGCAAGTTACTGACCCGGCCTGTCTCTGATTACGTCCTGTCTCCTGATTGTGTATCAGATTGTTGCTGACCCGGCTTGTCTCTACCCTGCTTCCAGGATCCTGCGTTACAACTGCATCCTGCTAGAAGAGCCCTGCAACCTGCGCGCAGCTCTGACAGGAGTCTCCACCTACCGGCACTTGTGCCCCTGCTTGTCCTCACGCACCTGTTTCCACTATCCAGGAGTGTTTGGACTGGAGCAGCAAGAGCGGCCGCCCTCGTCATCTCAGGTTCCCCTTAAGGTACGTGACACTATGTCAGGTCTTGGAGATGGCCATTACTTACATAGTATTTCATACCTGTTGATGAGATGACAGCAAATACTTCCTTCAAGGAAGGTAGGATCAGAGACGTCTCGAGCCTCCAGATGTTCTGCAGAAGTCCACTAACTCTGTTCACCTGGTCAAGGAACTGTATGACTCCCTCCTCATCTTCCGAATGGCAATGGAACTGACCTAAGCATCGGATTAGCTGCTGGCAGAACAAGACTTGGTGCTGTCCAGTTGGGATGCACTGTGAGTAGGACGTTAGAAGTTTGCTGATCCTCACACAAATCTTAAGGCTTGGCCTTTCGCAGACAATACGGAGCACCTCAACCCTCAGCAGTCTGAAAATCTCCCCCGTGGTGGGTTTGTCTACGACAAACTGAAGTCCGAGATGGATGTAGTCCAATATGAAGGCGTGTCTCTTTCCAAGAGACCCGTATCCTTCTTGCAGGAGGTTCAAGATGAACCTGACGTTAAAGAATTCCTCAAATTCCTCTGGGTGGTACCTTCCATAGACCTCCAGAACTTCTCTGGCCGTTTCTCTGGCGAAACGGGACTCACCCAAAAAGAAGAGCTTGGTGGAAAGTTCCAGCATGGACCAGCACTGCTCGCTGTCCATGGGCTGCTTGGAGGCCTCAATCACCCTTCGGGCTAAGCTTTGCTTGACGTACATGGGGTAAGAAGACTGCATTACGGCTTCCAAAATCTTGTCCATGGTTTCTTCTTGGGTTCCAGGAGCAACAATCTAGAATTTTCTGTGAATGATCAAAATTTGAGAAATTATTTCAGATTCTCGACCACAAGAGGTGTTTTTATGTAAATATATTGCAAAGGAGGTCTAAGGTCATCCACACCATACCATTGAGGTACATGGGAATCCCCACTTACAGTTTCCTCTTCCCCCTCAGTCCCCATGCAAAGTCCCACAAATACATGTTGGTTCTGCCAGTGAGGTCCACCTCAGGCATCTTCCTGTGATGGGGTGGCAACAATGCTGCACTGCTCCTGATTTCAGAGCAGAGTTGTCACCCGGATGTAGGCTGTGCCTGCTTGCACTACAGGGGGTTAAAATGTTGAAGGGGAGTGGCTATCAGCATTGTCCCTCCTGATTCACAAATCTACAGCTTGGCAGTCATGACCTGGCCACACCCTATCATTGAGGTAAATGGGAATCTGCACTTACAGTTCTCTCTTAGTCCCCACCTTGGTTCTGCCAGTGCACCTAATGCATCTTCCTGTGATGGGGTGGCAACAATGCTGCACTGCTCCTGATTTCAGAGAAGAGTTGTCACCCCCATGTACAGTGGGATGAGAAGTTGTTTAACCACTTGAAGACCAGGTGTTACACCCCCTTCCTGTCCCGGCCATTTTTCAGTGTTCAGCACTGCGGTACTTTAAATGACATTTATTCCGTCATGCAACGCTGTACTGAAATACATTTTGTACCATTTTTTGGGGACAGACAGAGCTTTCTTTTGGTGGTATTTAATCACCGCTACGGGTTTTTATTTTTTACTATAATTAGGAAAAATGACTGTACCGTACCATTGAGGTAAATGGGAATCTGCATTTACAGTTTCCTCTTAGTCCCCCTGTCGGTTCTGCCAGTGCACCTAATGCATCTTCCTGTGATGGGGTGGCAACAATGCTGCACTGCTCCTGATTGAAGAGCAGCGTTGTCACCCTAGGCTGTGTGCTTACACTACAGTGGGATGAGGTGTTGCACGGGGCGTGTCTATCAACGTTGTCCCTCGTGATTCACAAGCCTACAGCTTGTCAGTCATTACCTGGCCACACCTAGTCCCGCCCACTGCTTTCTGGATTGACAGCTCTGCCTCTGTTGCTGAAACTCTCCCACTATGAGGAGCAGCGTCTGGGAGCGGGTGAGACACACATGAAGGGGGATTTGACACAGTCAGGAAAGATAAGGGCTTATGTTTGATTGTGGACAACACAGTATTTGACCAGAACGCCCGTTGAGACAACCCAACCCCCACACGTGGCAAAGCCTTGAGGAAGTTTCGTGCATGGTGCATGGTACAGTCCCTGGGTGCAGGCCCGGATTTCCCACAAGGCCACCGAGGCCCGGCCGAGGGGCGGCAGCGGTGACCTTGTGGGGAAGTTGCAGGCGCCAGTGTAAGGTGTCCCGGCGGCGGACCGTAGTGTGCCATAGTTGCGGGCCGCAACTCCTCCCTCCAGCTGTCAGATATAGGGCGCGAGGTATGAATCCACCGGCGTCAATCCACATTAACAGGACGCCGGTGGATTCATACCTCACCGTCTACCTTGCTATCACACAGGGGCTTGTTATCTCCTGTGTGATAGCAATAAAGTTAGGTGGGGAAGTAAATCCGGCCCTGCCTGGGTGTAGGACTTGTGTAGACTGTCACACAGGAGTTGTCCTTTAAGTTATGTCTCTCCATCCAGAAAGACTTCAGCTCCCTATGTCCTCCATCGGGAGAAGATCTTCTCTGAGCGCATTGCTATCTCACCCTAGATCTCTATTTATTCTTTGCTGAGATCATGTTCTGCTGTGCCGGATATTTCTCATGAATAATAAACAAGGGTTCGGATTGTCACTCATCATCATTTCAAGGGAATTATTTCTATATATTGTCCGTATCTGTCATGTTCTGGCCTCAAAAATAGAATGTAGCTTTTTTTATCTTTCATTTATTAGGTCACGGGGAATATTTAATACTTGCACCCAGCAGGTGCCATACAAAAGGCTGTTAACCTTTTGAAAACACTTACAGCTGGATGAGTCAGAAAAGGGACATATCCCTGCCCTCTGCTGGCTCATATGGAAGTATATGTACTTTCAATTAGACAGAGGCAGGCAACCAGTGAGCAGCCAGTGCTGGTCTTTCTTACTAAAAAGTCCAGTATGTTCTGCAGCATAAATATTATAATGAACAGAGAAAGTACAAGGTTCCGTTCACACCTAGGCATCAGCGTTTTCGTGCATATTAGCACGGTTTTGCGCTCAACAACCAACAACCACCCCCCTCCAACCCCAACCACTCCAAGCCCCTTCACCCCCAAAGACCTCCCTCCACACCAAACCCCTCTCCCCCCAGAGGTACCTGGTACCAGAGGCATCCACAGGCAGGATGTCACCCAGAGCAGCCAGTGGGTGTCACCCACTGGGACACCATCACGCACACGTGCGATGTCATCAAACATGCAGCAAGAGCAGTTAACTGCTGGTGGCCATCTCGGTGATGGATGCCGGCAAAGAGAGGAGGGGGCGTTTATCCAGTGGGATAAGGTATGTCGCCGGGTCCCCTCCTCTCTTGTACAGCTGTTTGGCACTCAGTCCATGACCGAGTGCCTGACTTTTCAGAGGGGGTGACACTAAAATCACTGTGAGACTTGAGTCATTTTAATATCACCCCCTCTGATGGAGTCACCCGGTGCGGGCCTCACCCCCCATGTGTCGCCACTGCCTGGTACCACCCCTCTTCTAGTTCTTCCTACAATCCCTTTCATTGCCCATCCATCACCCTTCCCTCATCTCTCCCCCTTCTTTTCTTTTCCTCTCTCAGCTCCTCTTGGCTCTTTACTCTCCCCATAGCTGGCCGGCGAGTTAGCAGTGCAGTAATACCTCTTCCATGAGGGACAATGAAGCTGACCAAACACCACAGGATTTTACTATCACCTATCCTTATTCATTGTTCAATCACAGACGTCAAACGTTTTCTGTTACTGCACGAGCAGGCAAACTCCGGCCCTCCGGCTGTTGTGGAACTACAAGTCCCATGAGGCATTGCAAGACTGACAGGTACAGGCATGGCTCCCAGAGGCAGAGGCATGTTGGGATTTGTAGTTTAAGCACAGCTGGATTTGCCCACCCCTACGGTAATGTATCATCATATTAGGCACAATTCACAAAGCAAAGGAACTTCATTTTAACCATATGACTGTTATTTTTCAATCTCATTAGACTGAAAATAATTGTCATTTAAAAAAAATAAGTGTTCTTATCGTCCGATATTCCAGATATTGTATTATCGCTTTCTGCGAGTTCATGTGCGTCCTCCCTTGCAGCTCCACCTCCCCCGCATCTTTCATTTCCGATCATCTGATGAAACTTCTTTCTCTAAAGTTCATACCTTTCCTCCATGGACTTGATCTTTACTTTTAAAGCTTGTATATCTTTATTATCTTGTATCTCTGTATACCTTGTATCTCTGTATACCTTGTATCTCTGTATACCTTGTATCTCTGTATATCTTGTATCTCTGTATATCTTGTATCTCTGTATATCTTGTATCTCTGTATATCTTGTATCTCTGTATATCTTGTATCTCTGTATATCTTGTATCTCTGTATATCTTGTATAACTTTATGAAGGGAATTTATCAAAGCTGGAGCAGACAAAATCTGGGGCAACTGTGCATGGCAACCTATCAGCTTCACTCTTTAATTTTCAAATCTAAGGGTCCCCACACACCTTCCGATTATCGTACGAGAATCGCGGGAAATCCCGCGATCGTACGATGATCGTAAGGTTTGTGGAAGCCGTGCGACCTCTACTACTGTACTTACGGATATGTTCGAATATGTTACGGATATGTACGGATATGTTCGAAAACCCGCCGAGCATCGTACGATGTTCGCCGGGTTTGTGGCATGTTCGTACGATAACAGCCGCACGGGCCGGTGTGCGCAAGCGCACACTGCCCGTTCGGCACTCCGGTCATCGGAAGCCCGCCCCTCAGGGGGCGTGGCTTGCGATCATCGCAAGTACGATCTGCCTATGCAACATAGGCAGATCGTACGTTTTTTTAAGTACCTTACAACCATCGTAAGACAAAAGTCTTGCGATGGTTGTAAGGTGTGTGCCCAGCCTTAACTGAACAAACTGGAGAGAGAAGCTGACATGGCTGCCATGCACACCTGCTCCAGATTTTGTGTGCTCCTGTTTTGATAAATTCCCCTCTATATCTTGTATAACTTTATATCTTGTATCTCTTTATCCTGTCTCTCTTTATATCCTGTATAACTTTATATCTTCTATATCTTTATACCTTGTATGTCTTTATATCTTGTATATCTGTCTTTTGTCTCACCAAAACAGTTGATACAAAACTAAACACAAAGTTGATACAGTCTGCACACCGCCTTCCAGCAGCCGATTCTCCAGGAAAGCGGAGATGCACTTTAATCGTCCCCATGGATGGATTCTAATGACACACGAAGCAGAATGCGATAAAATGACATCATGCACGTTACTCACCGGCCGAGCTGTGGTCGCACGCAGGCAGACCCAGGAGTCACCATCCAAGGGAGGATAATGCAGCTTTTTCTGGAAATGGAGAGAAGGGTCCGCATGCGTTGAGGAAAGAAGGGAGCGTCAGTCATTAATTATCCACAGAGCTCCTGAGTGAGGGATCCGGTCCCAGGCAATGGATGAGATTGTAGCAGGGATGCTGCGTCTCCTCTCTGTCTCTCTGCAGGATCTACAAGACAATTCTCTGCCCAAAGTTCAATATCGCCTCTACTGTCTGCCACGCTCCCTGGAGTGCTCACCACGCCCACCGCTATAGCGTACGGAGAGCGCTCACACCACACACACCCCAAAATAAGGACATCGACTCAGCATGGCAAATGACAATGGCTTAAAGCTGAACTCTAGGCAGATGTGAGTCCTCGGCGTTATATAAATCCTGAATAATAATAAAAGATACAAGTTAAACACAGCTCTGTAAT